TGCTGAAAACAACATCTGGTTTATGGCTGCAACTAAAGAGCGCAGGCACAAACGTCTCAAGACACAATTCCCTACCCCTACCAGGAGTGAGGTGTGCCCACAGAGAACAACCCGACAGCGCTCAATGCAGTCACACAAACCCTGCTCGCTGCTGGCACTGCCCAAAAATCTGAACACAAGCACCTCTGCAGCACCCAGGTGGTAATGACACTGCCTGGCACTCTCCACCAGCATCAGCCTCAAAGGTCATTTTTCTGCAATGCTCTGTACCTGCACAAGCAGCTCGTAGGATTGCAGGCAGAGACAGGAATACATGCAGGTATGATGGACCCTGTGATTTGGACCCCTGGCAGTAAAATGCAAGCCTAAAAACAGCAAGGGATTTGTTCCTCAGCAGCAGCAAAGAGCCAATATAGTTTCTGCCCGCGTATTTCCCACCCAGAAGCAGCACTGCTGGGAGGGATCTAACTGCATCATAAAACACATACATTAAGGCTTTTCTGGTGCTGTTTTTATTATTTTTGCTTTTCAAAAACGAACAGTGGGCACAAACAACAGTTACAGTCCAACAGTGAAACCTGTGCAAATAATCCTTTCCAAATAGCTCGGTGATTTTCATTTGCTCACCATTTCACATACACAGATGTTCAACAAACACACTCTGGAATCTGTATACAAGTCTCTCAATTCAAACTCACCTGCAAGTGTGCAATTGTCTTCCCAAAAGCTTTTCTCTGCTTCACATAATTCCTTGTTTCTTCAAACATGAATTCACAACTGGCAAGAGCCATATCAGCAATTAGCAGCCTTTCCTTTTGAAAAACAAATTATGGAATCCAGTTGAGTTAGTCCTACATTTCTCTGCATCAGATGCACAATTGGGACACAGATGTTCAGTGTTGTTCATTAAGGGGGTTGGGGGGGAGGGCAGAAGTCACACAAAGTATCAACCCTAGCACACTGCATTACTGAAATTAATGAGTGGGACAAACGCCTTGCTGCCTAAAGCTTACTTTTAATTCTTTACCAGGGTAATGTTATATCACAATGACTCAAAACCTAGCTACAAATCGACCACAGGACTCTTAGAGATTGAAAAATTCACATCAAGTTCTGTTTTAATTATTGGTTTTCACGGCCCAGTTTAAAAAACTTTATTTATAAAACAATTGCAATAGGACAACTCTAGAAAAAAAAACCTACAAAAAATGGTTGTTTTTTCTTCCTCATAGTATGTTAAAAAACAGAAACTAAGTACAGACCAATTGCTTCTGGCACCATTGAAATAATCTGATGCATTATGTTGAACCTGTTCATAAGCACATCTATTTCTTTAAAGCAGTAAAAGATTTCCCTTGATCAGGTTTCATATTTACTCACAGTATAAAATTAAATAAACATGATCCCTACCAGATGAGGCAAATACAAAGTTGCAGTTTTGACAAAAGCACAGTCACATTTTTAAAGGCCACATTGCCTCTCTGTCCTCCCAAACAGTTCCAAAACTTCATAAACTAAGTTGTAAACTTGCAAGGCATTTTGGCAGCTAAACAATTTCTTTACTTTGCTATATGAACAGAGTTCCATGCATCTTTAATAAGCTTCTACTGGCAGAAGAGCTAGAACAGCAGTGCTTGTTTCTTTAAAGAGAATGCCAAATGCATCAGAGACCTCCAAGCAATATTTAATTTACTCAGCAAAGTGGCTCCATGCTAGAAGCACACAAGAAAAGTGTGGTATGTTCTTTTTAATACACTATCCTCACGTTCTTCAATAGCTGGGTCTGTGATTAACAGATCTGGCTTTGAGCTGGTGGAATAGTAATGCTTTTACCAATGCCCAAGGAACTGCACTTCTAGCACTGCACACTTCAGTTAAAAATCAGCAGTAACAACACAATGTTTCCTCAGACATCCTGCTTCAGAGTCCAAGGTAGCTCGCCACAATACATAAACTTCAAGACTAAATGACAAAAATTGCATCTGTACTCTTCCTACAGACAGCAAACACTCACATTCCTCTTACCTGAGGGAGCTCTGCCATCAGATAATAGAAGCCTTTGTTCTCTTTTCCAAGCAAGCCACTGGCTGGCAACCGCACGTCTTCGAAAAACAGCTCTGCTGTGTCCTAAGAGGATTTGAAATGCAACAGTTCATAGTCTGACATTCTCAGCTCTGTACACTTCTTTTGCCCTATTTTTCTCTTGCTATTGTACACTTGAAATCATAGAACTGTTTACACTGAAAGGGTCTTCCAGAGTTTATCTTCTACTCAAAGTAGCTCCAGCAAAACAATCATCTGAGGACCTTGTCCAGTTAAACTTCCCAAAGCTCCAAAGATGAAGGCTCCACAATCTCTCTGGGCCCCCGTGCCAGCATCTGATCACATTCATGGTGATTTTTTTTTCCCTAGTACCTACTTAGAATTTTTCTCAATGTAACTCGTGTCACTTGCCACTCTCCCTTTCACTGTGCTCCTCAATGAAGAATCTGGCTGTACCACCTCTACAGCCAATGGCACCAATAAGATCCTGTCCTTCCAGGCTTCCTCAGAGTGAGTAAAGCCAGCTTCCTCAGCCTCTCCTTGCACATCACATGCTTCAGACCTCCACAGGCAAAATCAGGATACATACTTTGCATGTTTGTGCTCTAAAGTCTAACAACTAGAATAGCACCATAGTTCCATCTGGTACTTACTTACCTATCGCCAGGCATTAAGTGGTTTTAGACTTCCTCCAAGTCTATTGCATTAGGGGTTCTATGAACTCACTTGAGCTTTCAGGCCGATTTTGTTCAGCTTGCGTCCTTTGATGAACCCTTTGGTTCCATTTTCCACCAGAAAGAGGCTGATGCCATGGGCAGGGGATCGGGCCTCCCGGTCTGTAACTGCAACCACGATCACCACGTCACTCATCCAACCATTGGTGATGAACACCTGTAAAACAGAAGACTTGGAATAAAGCAACCAACTAGGTGGATAGAAGTTAGAAGAGATCATCAAGCAGCAGAAAGAAAAATTCCACTGACACTTTCACAGGTGAACTGAAAGGCAAAGTTCAAGTGTCCAGAAGAATTTTAAGCTTTCTGAATGAAGTGTTTTGAGACACGACAGACATTAGTTTGAGAAGTACTGTGTGGGGCAGAAGTGTGATGCTCAAGAATGCACAGATCTGCTTCTTTTGTCTGTCCCATGATAAAGAAGAAATACAGTATCAAATGTAGCTATTAAATGAACAGAGAGGCTTTCTTTTCTAGAAATTAAATCAGTAAGGTATAACATGCCAAACTATCAATGGTTTCTTGTCACTACAACTGATGAACCTGCCAAATGGATCCATCTTCACTCCAGCAAAAGGAATGAACTCTCTGTCTTGCTTGGCTTCAAATGAGCAGCATGAGCACCTGATGAGCACCTGTACATACATATTTGCTTGCACAAATTCACACCCCTGAAATTCTGTTAAGACCAGAAGTCTCTACTGGTCTATCTTGTCAGCAGGAGTACAGAAGAAGATTAAGACATTTCATAGCTTCAAAAAAAAAAAAAAAAAGCCCTACTGAACCCACTCCCATTTCAACAGTATTCCTGCCTTCTTGCTTTATTATGGCAATGAAAGAAGAAGATAATGCTTTGCAACCGCTTGATAACACACAAAGAGCATCTGACGCAGCTGAGTTGGTTTTTTTCCTCTAAATATGACCAGCAAGCTCCTAAAAGATTCCACAGCTTGCATTTTGGCAACACAAATATTTACTCAGGCCACAGAAGGTTTCACAATGGCAGTGCATATATTTTATCGTTCAACCTTAAAACAAGCTCTGGTCTTGCTTATTCTATGCAGGACCCCTTTTTCCCTTTTCTTCACAGTTCAAGGGAAAACAGGCCTTTTGATAGGGTTATTTAAAAGCTACAACAAGAAACTAAACAAGCTCTTCCATAAATTGGCCTGTAAATTGTCAGCAACGGAAATACTGTAAGACCTATTAAAAAAAAAAGTAACTGGGACCAAAAAACCCACCCACAACATAATCCACACAAAAAAACCAAACCAGAAGTGAAAGGACTGGGAGAGGACACTAAGAGTGGTGCACACCCTGGTGCCCTCAACTAAATGCATTCACTTCCAAAGCCTATGAGCAACGCGTGTGTCTGTGCACTTACCTTACTGCCATTAAGAATCCAGTCACTTCCATCTTTTTTTGCATATGTCCGTACTCCCTGTAAATCACTGCAACGAAATTCAACAGGTCCTTCAAGAAACCATTCCAGAAGCTGCAATTTGTATCCTGAATTCCACCCAGTACAAAATAAGGAAGATTTTATACCATCCAGGCATGGGCTCAGTGAAAACAGATGATAGCGAAGCACAGCGAAAGAGCTGAGTGTAACACAGAAACCATATGTACACTGTGAAAAAGGATGATGCATCTGTGCAATCATACAGGACCCTGAGGTTCCATTTTCCAGTCTCTGCTTGTGGAAGGCGATGTAATACAAGCACTGACATCAACAGGTCAGCATCCCCTTACGCCAGTATGCCTTAAATGACAAATGCCAGACACAACCGCATCCTCTAAGCGGGCTCAGTCCTGATCAGGAGGCTCTGTGAAAAGCCATGGACAACATCTACCACTTGTAGAAGCACGACACCAACAGGTGTTGCTCTTCATCTGTCCCTCTCTGCTCTGGAAAATGGCCAGATCAGCTGTGTCTACTCCAAAGATATGCTGGCTGCCTTTCAGTAATGATGGGCAAGGAGGGACATATCTCTGAAGGGACTCAGAGGAAAGAAAATAAGGTGTTCTGTTCCACAACAAAAGCTAATAGTAAAGTCAAGACTTGTTTACCAAGGTATGCAATTTTCTCCTGACTGTGTTTCGCAGTAAAAGTATGTTCACATCACAAGCAAGTTGGTAACTATGAACTCTGCCTGTAAAAGCAAATACAAAGCGTATTTGCCCACAGCAGGAAGACACAGAAATGGATTGAGCTAATATCCCGAAATGACAAAGCTGTAATAAAGTAATCTGTAACAGGTTTTTTGAGGTCCTGCCTAATGTAGGATACTCCAGTCACTAAAGCAACCATATAACCAGGAGGCTCAGAATGTTTTTCACTGAAAATCAACAGACAGGACACAATGCTAAGACCACTGTTTTAATATTTGGCTTACCTGCCAGCCCCAGGCTCTGTCATGGCGATGGCTCCAATGCACTTTCCTGCAATCATTTGGGGGATAAAGCGTTTAACCTGTTCTTCAGTGCCATAGTTTGCAATGTAGGGCATGACTATATCTGAGTGAAGGCTGAACCCTGGGCCTGTACAGTTAACATACATCCTGGAGAAAAAAAGGTGTGGGGGAAAAAGTTCAGAAAAAAGTGCTACAAAGACTTACACATTGAACTTTACAGCATTACAACACAGACCCAAGAGTGAAGAAACTCTCACTACATAGAAGTCTCAGAGAATCTGAGCTTGTGGCACTTGTAACGTTATTTATAGAATGTATTTCAACAGTCAAATGGGTACACAACCTACCAGGCCAAAAAAAACCCCAAAATATGCTTCCCCCTGGCACACAGCCAGTGGAGCACAATGACATTTGACATTTGTTATTTAAACAATCATCCAAAGTACTTAAAACAGGAGGGATTTACGTATACCTAAACTATCCTTTCCACAAGAAAGATAACACCAGTTTCTGTAAGCGAAGTCCATAATGATGACAGCTCATGGGAAAAACAAGTAGTCAGCAATAATGCCAGCACTGGAATTCTTCCTGAAGCATCTAGTACTTACTGCTCCTCCCAGACGATGGCTGAAGAAAGAATATCTGCTCCGATACCTCCATGCTTTTCTGCGATAGCAACACCCAGCAAACCCTGATGTCCAGCCTTTTCCCACAGCTCCCTGCTCACTTGGCCATCCTTCTCCCATCTGCAAAACGAACACGAGAGCAGGGTCACACATTGAACCCCCCATGTGCTACTGTATTTGTCACTGGTGCTTCACACTAGAACACCAACAGTGTGAGGGCATGCAGATAACTGTATTTCACAGCCAAGAAGCAGTGGCTTAGTCACAGGTTTTCTAATCTGCGAGTCCACAGATGCCACTGGCATTACAGGGGCACCAACTGTAAAACAAGTTGGAACTCCTGCTCCCAACATGTAACCTGACAGGCTTTCATTAAGACTTGTTGTGACTGCTATAGCAGACTGATATTTAGGAGGTTTAGCCGCAGCCATCTGGATAATTATAAGCAGGTCTTCATCCTCCCAACATTCCATTTTCCCCAGGCACAAAATGAGTGTGACATATCAGTGTCTTTTGTAAAAGATTACAACCCTGTCAATGAAAACTGCTTTATTAGAACCAAGTGTTACCATATGAGTCGCTTTTATATATAAATCCATCTCTGTGCACTTATTACAAGTCAGTGCTGTATCTTGGTAAATTACTGCTTTAAGGTAGTTTCAAGTTTGTGTAAATAGACAGTTGAGGCTTAGCTGCTGACAGTTTGCAAACTTTGACACCACAGAAATCACTTATTCTTGGAAAAACAGTGCCTCTTTATGGGGTTTGCCAAATCAGTAGAAAGCGGGATGGCCATTAATGGTCCAGAGGTTTTTTTAATGCCTTTTTTTTAAAAACCACAATTTGAAAATTGTATGCTAGACAGATTATATCAGAGACAGTCCTCTGACACATCTGTGTGCAGCAGAGTTATACCATAGCTCTTTATCCACAGTTAATCAAGTGTCTTGTCCTACACATAGCATAGATTCACAGAATGCTTTGGATTAGAAGGAACATTAAAGCTCACCTACTTCCAATCCCCCTACCATGGACAGGGCCATCTCTTACTAGACTAGGCTGCTCAGAGCTCCATTCCACCTGGCCTTAAACACTCCAAGGAATGGGGCATCCACAACTTCTCTGGGCAACCCGCTCCAGCATTTAAGCTCCTTCACAGAGCTTTTGCGCCTACACTGAAAATCTTAAATTTCTTTTGACCATCTTTGCTTTCCCCCAGACCTTTGCTTTCAGGGCCATTGCTGTCTCTACTTCACCCAGCACAAAGGCTTCTCCTCCTACAAGAATGCACAACTACATTCACTGATGCCATATTTATCTCTTCGTATCAGCCCAGATGATTACGCTACGCCTTAAGCCTCCTTGTTTACTTGAAAGGTGTACGAACAGTGTTTCATCAGCTGCTGAAGTGATGCCAACATGTAAGTTCAGCAAGACACCAAATGAGATCTTAAGTAACTTCAGGCAGAGCCTGTCCACAAACCTGCACTGGAAGTCTTTCTGACAAAAGAGGAGGGAAAACATCTGGTTTTATGGACAGAATATGACTGTACAGTGGAAAAGCATACTACTACGAGGCTGTGGTTGGAGGACAAATAGTTGTCATCAACCCTGCTGTAAACTG